TCTGCAAAGCAGCATTGCCAGTGTACTTGCTTCTTATTGCTGGTTGACTGTATCCCAAGGTCCCAACACCTAACTGTGCTGTACTGCTGGTGGGCGTACTGCATACGCCCAGCTCAGATTAAGTATTTACTTTTGGGGACCATTGGAATTTTTCATTCATTTTGCCTGAGCTAAAAGTCTTCAAAAAGGTGACTTTGTCATTCAGCATTCATCTCTTTTTTTACCTCCACAAAGGCAGGAAAATATATTTGTTGATTTGCTTCTGATATGGGAAAGAAAGACTCATATTCCTAGCTACTCTCATCTTGTCATTTTTTTTCCCCTGACTGATCCCATTCTCTCCCTGCTCTCAGCTCCCAGCAAACAGGTAAGTACTATAATCTGAAATTCTCTGACTACTCAAAAGGCTCCCTTCTCTTAGAGTTTGCAGTCTATGGTATTTTTCCAAGGTAAAGGTAAAAAGCACCCACCACCATAGGCTTATGCTAGAAGATAGAGGACTAATTTATACCAACTTCCATGCCAGGTGTATAATTTACTAATTAACTCAGGAAGTTTCTTTTGTGGACTTTCTGACTTATTCCTTTTAAACTATGAGCACCTGGGAATTTTGGGTGCTCCCTTCCCCTTAAGAGTGAGATACCACAAAGGGGGTTATATTGTTACTTGGAAAAAGATGAGGGACTAAATTAATCTCTCTCTGATGCTATGTTGGTATGGAGTTCTTTAAATATTGCAATATCCTTGAAAGTAGTCTCCATTCTGAAAGGAACTGCTGGTCCCTCTGGAGATGCTGAGGGCTGCTGGAGAACTATAAACCCAGCACTGTTCATAGGCAGAACTGCTAAAATAGTTGTTGGACTGGAGCTCTGGGCTGTGGTTTATAAGATTCCCTTTTTGGAAGCTGATACCTGCCTCAGATACACCCACCCACCTGCACACATAAAGGACATCCACACATGCAGAAACAAGCTGTGTGTTGTGGACTGGGGACTTAATATTTTGTATTCCTCTATGATATTGTGTGTTAGGGACTGCGGCTAGCACTTAATATTTTGTCTTCCAGTGCGTCTACACAAGCCTCCCCGGGTACACACAGTCCCTAGCATTTGGATTTGTCTTTTTCTGCACTGCCTGAAGCACAGTTTGCTCACGCTTAGGTGATTTACTAAAGGCTGCATAACCGCTTGGAAATATGCAAGGCTGTTTTTGGCAGTGCTGGTGTAGATATTTCAGTGCCCTGCCTCAGATTGATAGTGTTACTCAGAGAAGAGAAGGCAGCTCTGGAAAATGTTTGAGTTCAAAAGGAAGAACCTCTTTAATCACTTAGGCTCTCAGGAAACCCAAGACCCAGTGGGACAGTCTCCTTGCAGTTGACACTGTCCCAGAAAATCAGTGGCATTTGAAAGCAAGATCACAGCCAAGGAAGGAAGGCACTGTAGTGATGGAGAGGGCCTCAGCCAGTGTGAGTGAAATGGCTACTGCCTGTGCTGTAGCCAACATCTGGCAGGGAGACTTGGGGTTCAGTAATGCATAAAGAACTGCATATTTAGCAATGCTACTTTTTCTCTTTGAAATACCTGTGAGGGTTTGGATCAGATAATCAGCTTTTAAAACCAGTGTGGCACAAGGAACTATTCCAAGTCTCCTGATCTCCTGAGACTATATTTGGGGCCTGATTGGGCAATTTCTTGCTTGCTTTCTTCTCTTTCTCCCCCTCTCTAAATATACATATCCTGACTGACTCCTATGAGATTAATTCAAACAGAGCAACTGCTGGATTAGACCTTAATCCCTTTTCCATCCATTTAAATCGTCCTGAATGCTGAGGGATTGCGGTGTGTTCCAGTGCTGGCCTGACTCATTTTATTCTGGCATTTTGTTGCTGTTTTGCATCTGTTTTCCGTCCAGTTTTTTTTTATTTTTTTCAAATTCTCTGGCTTCAGTTGAATTTGTAACTTGCAATTTTACCAATCTGGTCTGGCAGTGACATCTGTCTTGAGGAGATCACTTTCCCCCCTTCTTGTTCTGCAACAGCCAATTGATTCTTAGGAAACATCCCTCTCCCATCTGCCTGGCTTTGCTCTGCAGCTTCATGCGGTGTGAACTTTGAAAGGATCAGCTCAGATTATCCACATTTACAGCTATTTTTTTCCGGCAGTGCACCCCGACAGCAGTCACTAACTGCCATATACAGTAAGATGACAGCATTGCCCAAAAAGCAGAGGGGTGGGCTACCACG